TCTTTCTTTCTTTCTTTCTTTCTTTCTTTCTTTCTTTCTTTCTTTCTTTCTTTCTTTCTTTCTTTCTTTCTTTCTTTCTTTCTTTCTTTCTTTCTTTCTTTCTTTCTTTCTTTCTTTCTTTCTTTCTTTCTTTCTTTCTTTCTTTCTTTCTTTCTTTCTTTCTTTCTTTCTTTCTTTCTTTCTTTCTTTCTTTCTTTCTTTCTTTCTTTCTTTCTTTCTTTCTTTCTTTCTTTCTTTCTTTCTTTCTTTCTTTCTTTCTTTCTTTCTTTCTTTCTTTCTTTCTTTCTTTCTTTCTTTCTTTCTTTCTTTCTTTCTTTCTTTCTTTCTTTCTTTCTTTCTTTCTTTCTTTCTTTCTTTCTTTCTTTCTTTCTTTCTTTCTTTCTTTCTTTCTTTCTTTCTTTCTTTCTTTCTTTCTTTCTTTCTTTCTTTCTTTCTTTCTTTCTTTCTGTCTTTCTTTCTTTCTGATTTTTCAGAAATTACCAGTGACCTAAAAATGAGTGGTAGCCAGTCTGAGCTGTAGTCTAACCTCTCTCCACTGGGAGGAGCCATAGCCCAGCGGTTCTGTCACAAGCCAGGACTGAAGAGTGAGGGAGGGTAAAGCCAAATGGATCAGAACCAGGCCATGCGCTGCTGCTTTGCAGCCCTGCTCCCGGGACACACCGAGCAAGGCATCTGGCTGAAATTAAAGGCTATTTGATTTTTGCTGCTAAAGAATCTGCCAGATTTCTGCCAAGTTCAGACTAGCTCCGTTGAGGGCATCAAAGCCAATAGGACTGATTCTGATTTACCATCCAGTCAAAGACATTTCGGTGCCTCGCTCCCGCTGAAAGCCATGGGCCCCAGGCCGCTTTAAAGCTCCCTGTGTGTAACCGAGGGTGAAGCTGTGTCTGTTTACACCCGCTCAGGATCTGGCCCAGGTAATCCAGACCCACAAATTCGAAGGAACTTCCAGTTCGGCTGACAGTTCTGCAGCTCGACCCTGATCTCCTGCCGTGGTAAGAGGGTGACTCAAACGGCTCCGTCCCCCCGAATCCTGGATCCTAGCTTTGCATCCCAGGCCCATTTCAGAGCCGGGCAAGCCAATCCAACCCTGCATTGAACGGCCTGTCAGCGCTGGGCAGGTGACGGGAGGCAGATCTGGGGAGACTGCCCATCGCCTGTGAGCGTTCCCTGCGCCCATCGACTCCCTTCACCCAGCTACCACCCACCAGCCCTTGACACTCCCAGGCCGGGTGGCAAGGGACGAGAACCGTGTGCCTCCTGGATCAGGCCCCTTTGGGCTCAGTCGTGGGGGAATTGACCAATGGGAAGCAAAGACCAGGAATGCAACACCCTCTCCCCATCCCCCACCTCTCACTCGAATCACCTTTAATTATGAGCTAGCTCAGATCCTGGGCAGCCAGCCTCTTCCCATCTCACTGGGCCCCGTGGGCAGGTCCATGCCCTGACCCAGGGGCCGGAGGGATAAGTAAGGTGAGCCCCATCCCAGGTGTGTGCCAGAGGGGTGAGAACTTTTCCACCCCAGCTCCCTCCCCCTTGTTCTTCATTCCTTGTGATGAATTCATCAGTTCTCCCTCCTCCCTCTGCTGGGTGGGCCTCACTGGCAGCTGGAGTGAGCCCTGTCGCTGCCTGTGCCCTCCAGCCCCTAGTGCTGGGGGGAGTCCCCGGTCAGTCCCTGCCGCAGGAAGAGAGCCGAGACAGGACACGGACCAGAAGGGAACGGCAGCCTGGATGCAGAGCCGGCCTCTTTCACTGCCTGCTGCTTGCTGCCCTTTGCCTCTTGACCCCTCCACCCCCAATTCGCTGTGTGCTGGCTACAGCTGTGATTCCCCCCTCCCCCCCAATAAAGGGGCCTTGTCCAGCAAGGCGGAAATAGGCAGCTGTCACTCACACAGCATTCCAGATAGCACAGTGGAAAATCAGGCGTGCTCCGGGGATCATCCGGGTTAGGGACGGCTGTGCGGTGAGATCCGATCTACCTCCCTCCCTCCCTCCCCCCGCAATCAGGCATCAGCCCAGGTGCCTTCCCTATGGTCTGTCCCACTAATGCCTTTGTCAGGCTTTCTGATTTTAATTCCTTCCTACCCCCTCTCCTGCTCTGTGGGGACCGCCCCATGACTCTGCTCATCCAAGGAGGTGGGTTTTGCCCACGAAAGCTCACGATACTATAGCTAGAGAGATTTGTTAGTCCCTACAATGCTACGGGACGATTCATTTTGGTTTTGTTTCCTCAATAGCACCTAGCTCTTTCATGGCGCTTTTCATCTGGAGAACGCGGAGAGCCATGTCGTGATCCCTGTTTTACAAGTAGGGAAACTGAGGCGCGGGGGTGGTGACGTGACTTGCCCGAGGTCAAGCAGCAAGTCAGTGTCAGAGCTGGGAAGGGCACCCCGGTCTCCTGGACTGCGGGCCAGTGCGCTGTCCCCTAAGCCAGGGATGGGAAGGTGGCAGGGTGCAGTCTTCTGTCCTTCCTGCACAGCGTGAGCCCTGTTGGGTGTCATGAGCAGCCTCGTTCAGTGAGCTGCTAACGAGGCCCAGGCGGGCTGGCTGAGGGCGTTTGGCTGGCGGGCTGATCAGTGGTCCCCTGTCCCTGCAGCAGGGTCCAGAGAGTGTTCGCGGCTCCCTGGCTGGAAGCTCCTGCGGGAAGGACTGTGGCTGCAGGACCGCCAGAGCTCAGCCGCGGCCGGGCATTTTCTGGTCAAGCGAGTCAAGACAAACTGGTGAGGGAAGGAGAGAAAAGGAAGAGGGAAGGGAGGATGGGAGTGCAAGGGGATGGCAGCGTTTGTGCATGCGTGTCACTCCGCGGCTCCTGGCACAAAGGGGTTTAGGCGCATTTACACACACGTATGTGCCCAGCTCCACCCTCCGGGCACTTTTGCACACCGGTGAGGGTTGTGTACGGGGAAGCGTGTGCACGTGGGTGCCAGAGTACATACGCCTGTGCACGAGTGTGCATGAGCATTCAGCCTGGCCATCCTGGAGCACGTGAGTGTGCGAATGTGCCCTTCGCACACGCTTGTGCACCGGCACGGGTCTGGGCACGGCGCATGCTGGTCTGCATGCACACATCAGCCCTCTGCTTGCAGGGGCGTGGTTTTCGGGCTGTGTGTGTGCCAGCGGCTGGGTGCACATGTATGTCTGGGGGTGGGAGAGGCTGAGTGTGTGTCAGGCCCCACTTCCCCCCGGAACTCCATTGCCTCTGAAACCCCCCTGGCCTCTGATAGGAGCGAGGCCTTTTCATCCGAGCCCCTAAATGGAGAGGCCTTTTCCACACTCCCATTGTGGCGACCTGGGCTCCCTCCATTCAATGCCCCTGGCAGGGTCCCGGCAGCCTCAAACAGGCCCATTCTTCCCCTGGATTAAGGGCCAGTATTAGCAGGCAGCGGCGTGCGATCCCGTTCGGCGCAGGGGCCCGGGCGGCTCTTGTCTGGGCTGCGTGGCCACCAGCCGGGAGCACAAAGCCCCAGCAGGACAGGGGCCGGGTCTTTTGCCAAGCGACTTTGGGATTAAGGGGGGAGTTAAAGCACCCCGTGGGGAGAGAGCAGCCCAGGCTGCCCTGTGGGCAAACAACGGGCTCTGGGGAGCGTCTGGCGGGGCAGGCGGCTTCCCGCGCTGGATCAGGCACGGACCAGGCCAGTCAGCTCGCTGCTCTCCCTGCTCGGGCGGCTGCAGCTGCTGGGCCTCCCCGCCCCCTCCCTCGACCCTGCGCCCTGTATTGGATCCCTGAGCCCTCCCCAACCTGATGCATCAGATGGAACCAGCTGGCCCACCCCCCACCCTTCCACTCCCACTGCACTGCACTGGACTAATGTACCCCCTCCCAGTCTAATGCATTGGATCAGTCCAGTGCGCCCTGCCCTTCTCCTGCAGTGGGTCGGACCAACAAGCCCCTGTAACCCACTGCACTGGACTGGACTAATGTACCCCCCCACCCTGTCTAATGCATTGGATCATTCCAGTGAGCCCTGCCCTTCCACTGCAGTGGGTCGGCCCAACAAGCCCCTGTAACGCACTGCACTGGATTAATGTACCCCCTCCCAATCTAATGCATTGGATCAGTCCAGTGCGCCCTGCCCTTCTCCTGCAGTGGGTCGGACCAACAAGCCCCTGTAACCCACTGCACTGGACTGGACTAATGTACCCCCCCACCCTGTCTAATGCATTGGATCATTCCAGTGAGCCCTGCCCTTCCACTGCAGTGGGTCGGCCCAACAAGCCCCTGTAACGCACTGCACTGGATTAATGTACCCCCTCCCAATCTAATGCATTGGATCAGTCCAGTGCGCCCTGCCCTTCTCCTGCAGTGGGTCGGACCAACAAGCCCCTGTAACCCACTGCACTGGACTGGACTAATGTACCCCCCCACCCTGTCTAATGCATTGGATCATTCCAGTGAGCCCTGCCCTTCCACTGCAGTGGGTCGGCCCAACAAGCCCCTGTAACGCACTGCACTGGATTAATGTACCCCCTCCCAATCTAATGCATTGGATCAGTCCAGTGCGCCCTGCCCTTCTCCTGCAGTGGGTCGGACCAACAAGCCCCTGTAACCCACTGCACTGGACTGGACTAATGTACCCCCCCACCCTGTCTAATGCATTGGATCATTCCAGTGAGCCCTGCCCTTCCACTGCAGTGGGTCGGCCCAACAAGCCCCTGTAACGCACTGCACTGGATTAATGTACCCCCTCCCAATCTAATGCATTGGATCAGTCCAGTGCGCCCTGCCCTTCTCCTGCAGTGGGTCGGACCAACAAGCCCCTGTAACGTACTGCCCTGGATTAATGTACCCCCTCCCAGTCTAATGAATTGGATCATTCCGGTGAGCCCTGCCCTTCCACTGCAGTGGGTCGGACCAACAAGCCCCTGTAACCCACTGCACTGGACTGGACTAATGTACCCCCCCACCCTGTCTAATGCATTGGATCATTCCAGTGAGCCCCGCCCTTCCACTGCAGTGGTGGGGGCCAACAATCCCCTGCCAGCCAGTGAGTTAGATTGGACCAAAGAGCCCCTTCGCTAGTGCACTGCACTGGATCATAACAATGAGCCCTCCCCCCAACGCAGTGCACTGGACAGGACCAGTGAGTCCCCACGACCCAGTGAACTGCCGATCCCTTGGGCCAGCATCCCTGCTCCCCAGCCTTCTCTGCAGGGAAAGTTCATTCTTGGTTCATTTTCTCGCTCTTCTGTTTCCCTTCCCGTTTCAGGTCCTGCCAAGGAAGGAGGAAAGAAGCCAGGACGTGAGTTGTCTCTCTGTTCTGTGTGTGTCCAGCCCCTAGCACCACAGGCTCCTGGCCCAGGGCCTGGGCTCCCCAGCACGAACATCACGCGGCTATGAAATAATGTCGTCCCTCTCGTCACACGAGGGCCTTTTCACTCCACTCTGGCCTCCACCTTGCGGTAAGTGTGTGTCACTTATGTGCACCCAGGCCCATGTCGATTACAGCTGGCACTAGGGGACGGGCACACGCATGGGGCGCAGGGGACCTGGGTGCCATTCCTGACTCTGCTACCGCGTTACCCTTCGCGGCCTTGGTCAAGTCACTTGGCCTTTCTGTGGCTCACGCCCTCAGAGCCTATGACGGCGCAAGGCACGCCACGGAGTGGATGGGGGCCACAATATCATCTACTCTAGTCTGACCTCCTGTAGGTCACCGGCCACCAGCACCTTCCCGCTTAATCCAGCCACTAAAATCAGACCCGCAGCCCACAGGGGACTTGCGTGGCAGGCAGAGAATGTGTGGGACCGAGGCCGCACTAGGCATGAGCTTGCCATAGCGGTGGGGAAATGATTAAGTGAGGTGCACGCCAATAATCCTGACAAGGAACTTGCACCCTGTGCTGTAAAAGAGGTGAAAACGCCCCCTAAAGTCCCTGGGGAGAATTCCTTCCTGACCCCAGACATGGTGATTACTTATACCCTGAGCAAGACTAGGAGCAGAGAATCTGCCGCCGAGCCCCGGCCTTCCACCTCCAGCCACAGCCGTTCTGGGGGGAAGAAGAGGGTCTGGAGGAGGCAGACGCCTGCTTTAACGCCCCTTTTACCCAGCTGGAGCGGTGCTCCGCTGCACACGAGACTCCGGCCCAGAAAATGTCCCGTTAGCTCGCCGCTGTGGTAAACAGAGCACTGCCTGGACGGGTTATTAGCCCTGGGAATTTCCTGAGCTTCCTGCCCAGGGTTCCCTTGCTGGGGCTGTAATCCACCCGTACCACGTGAGCCGACACACCCAGTCACACGGGGGTTGCCACGCAAGGGGCGCCACAGAACAGCAATGACCACGGTGGGGGTGACTGTCCTGGGGCTGGTGCAGGGGATTCCTCTCAGCTCCTTCTCGGAGCTGTAAATCCGTCTCCACTGGCCGCCAGAAACCGCTGGTGAGGGGGAAAGTGGCTCGGGAGTTGGGTTGCTTCCTTTGTGGATGCGTGTCCCGAAACAGGCACCAGTGTGGGGAACAGCAAATATTTCTCCCTTCTTCCGCCGGCCTCTCGCCCCCCCTTTCTGCTGAGACGGTGGCCTCGCACAGTCGACCTGTACGCCAAAGGGCTGGAAACGAAATCCAAACAAATGCAGCCGGAGTCCAGGAAGCTCCTTACCCCGGTGGGACATGTGTGGTCTTGGCAGGGTACATGCGCAGTGGGGCTGGGTTGCTGTATATGCGCACGTGCTCGTGCGAGTGCACAAGTGTGGGCATGGGTGCAGCGCACGGGTAGGCATACGTGCACTGCAGGTTTGGGAATAAGCGTGTGCACGCACAGCTCTGTGAATGTGTGTTTGCAGAGCTGGGTGTGCAGCTGCATGTGTGACCCACACCCCTAGTGTGAGTCAGTGTCCCATGGGGTGGCACTTAGACCACTTACAGCCTGGGATAAGAACACGGGAGCTCTGCAGCCTAAGCCGAGCGCCAGCTGGCTGCATCACTCAAGCTGTACAGGCCCCTTCACAAAGCTCCAGAGGTTCAAATCTGCCTGGTGGTGACACATGCACGGAGGTGTGTGCACGTGTGCAGGAGTGTGTCGGTGGGTGCACATGCCTGTGTGCGGACATGTATCCCGAGGAGCGTGCTGGCTGGTCTGACTATAAAACTGCTCAGCCCGTTTAATCCCCTCATCCAAGTTCCAGCCCTGAAACCGTTCCTCACTGAGGACTAGCGCCCCCACCAGCCGCCCAGAGCAGGGTGTGCGTGTTGTGGGGGAGGCAGGCTTCTGCTGACCCTGCAGCCTGACCTCATAGACCCCCCCAGCTCTGGAAAGTGTGTGAACTTTTCCTGGGCTGTACCGCCAGGTGTTCGCAGGGCAGGGGGCACTGTGTGCGTGTGTGCGTGCGTGTGTGTGCGCGCGTGTGTGTGCGTGTGCATGCGTGTGTGTGTGTGTGTGTGCGTGCGTGTGTGTGCGTGCGTGTGTGTGCGTGTGTGTGTGCGCGCGCCTTGTAAGAGCCAGTGTCAGGCTGGCCTGTGACCTTGCTGGGGATGGAGGTGGGAGCCAAACCCCCAGGTACGCAAGTGGGTGCTAATTCTCCCAGTGCCTTGGGATGGAGCTACTGGGGCTTTTCGTGTGTGTGTGTGTGATGCAATTATTGCAGAATCGCACCCTCAGTTAATTGTTCCCCCATCCCAGCTGATCCCCAACGCTGAGCTACACCCATCCCCTGCTTGTGCTTTCAAGTTCCCTTCCAGCCCCTCCTCCATCCCGCTGCCCCCCCCAATCCTGCTGCCCCCCCCAATCCTGCTGCCCCTCCCCCAATCCTGCTGCCCCCCCTCTTCCAGGGCCCCGCTCCCCACC